GACTGCCTGGAGAGCTTTGGCTATGGAGTGGTACAGAAACTAAACTAACAATGAATAATAAATAAATAACCCTAAATTAATATAATGCAGGCAGTCGGAGTCCTTTGTACAAAACAGATTGTTAATGTGTGGGTAGCAATAGAAATTATATTTGCTGTCATCCAGTGCCAGCAAGGGAAGATAAAAACTCCTCTGAAATGCAATTTCCTGAATGAAAATTCTTGGCCAAAAGAATAATGCATCTGCCTGTTTGCTAACTGGATCACAAACCAGGGCATTTCTTTCAAGACAAATATAAAGTACATGGGTAAGAACACAACAGTTGTCTTGTTGGACCAGTTGGAGGTTCATCTTGTGAAGTGTTCTGTGTTTTCGTTAGGCGCGGTTAGGTGGATGTGCCTTGGGGTCATAAACAGGACTAACAAAACAATTGGAGGGTTGCTAATCATGAGTTATTTTACCTGCTCATTTGGGGATTTTTTTTGCCTCAGGTTTGGTATCAGGTATTTATTTGAATGAATTATATATTCTCTCTGTGTTAGGGAGGTCGGGTCTGGTGTCCTGTTCTTTATCCTAAAAAGTTGGAAGAGGGCAGTCTTATATTTGAAGGTGTCCTTTTAAGGGACGTCCCAAGACATTTGCTGCTTGAGGTGAAACACAAAAATGGTCACTCCCTGTACAGAAACCACCTGGCCAAACAGCTGAATTGGACTTCAGCACCGGGGACAGGACTACCTCCTTCAATACATGAGGCAGTCATTTTGTTAATCCTATGCAGTTTATTTTGGTGTTATGAAAGGGAAACAAATAATTAAGGTATTTAATGGTTCGCTATTGCATTTCTGCTCTGAGGGAGGGGTGTTTTGGGACTTTCTGCTGCAGGTGCCAAAATAACTTAGCCAGCCTTGGTTGTTATACACCTTGCTGCACCTTTTGCTGCTCTGCCTCGGGTAAGCAAAACATCCTGTGCTGACTGCATTGGGGCAGTTAGTGCCTCTTCAAAAATGCCCTCAGTTCTCTCCAACAAAACCCAGAAGTGGACGCATAACCAGGCTGCAGTGCAAACTGCACTGGCCATTCTTTGGACATATCCCAGTGAAAAAAACCTTACTGGTGGATTGCATGACATGAACCATTTGCTTGAACCTGGCTGTTTTGACATTCTGTCTGTAACTCATTATCTTCATTCAGCATAGAACTACTGGGACAAAATGTGGGGTAGTCACTTTACATTCCCCAGAGTGAAAACTCTGCACCAGGAAAGAGGACAAAAGACCTGCACAGAATATGTACATGATTGCTTATGGGGGGGTATAAACTCAGGTATAGTTATAAGAGTTATACAGAGTTCCTCACCCCAGTCGACTTCTTCTTTTGGGGTGCTATCAAAGATAAAGTATTTTCAAGAAAACCACGCATTGTAGATGACATGACTCAGTTCATAAGAGAAATATGCCAAGAAATTGATGACACAGAAACCTCTGTGCCAAAGTGTGCTCGAGTGCAGAAACTAGACTACGGGAATGTGTAAATGCTGAAGACTGGCAACTTGAGCACTTAAGAGATTGTACTTAATTGCAATTTGTATGTCAAGCTATTTTTTCATAATAAAAACTATATACCTACTTTTACACCCCTCTGTATTTGTAGCTGCAAATTTAGAATTACTTTAAGTTAAATAGAAATAGAAAACCATAGCCTTGACTATACGCACTTTTGTTGGCAGGGTGATGTCTCTGCTTTTAAGTATGCTGTCTATATTTTAGTATGCTGTCTCTATATCCAGGAGCAAGCGTCTTTTAATTTCTTGGCTGCAGTCCCCGTCTGCGGTGAACTTGGAGCGCAGGAGAATAAAATCTGTCACTACCTCCATCTCTTCCCCATCTATTTGCCAGGAAGTGATAGGACTGGATGCCATGATCTTAGTTTTCTTAATGTTGAGTTTCAACCCAACTTTTGCGCTCTCCTCCTTCACCTGCCTCAAGAGGCTCTTTAGTTCCTCTTCACTTTCTGCCATGAGAGTGGTATCATCTGTATATCTGAGATTGTTGATATTTCTCCCAGCAAACCCTAGAGAAGATCAACCCTGACTGCTCTTTAGAAGGCCAGATCCTGAAGATGAAACTCAAATACTTTGGCCACCTAATGAGAAGGAAGGACTCCCTGGAGAAGAGTCCCTGGAACAATAGATGACAAAAGAAGAAGGGAACGGCAGAGGATGAGGTGGTTAGATGGAGTCACTGAAGCAGTTGGTGTGAGCTTGGGTGGACTCTGGGGGATGGTGGAGGACAGGAAGGCCTGGAGGAATGTTGTCCATGGGGTCACGATGGGTCGGACACGACTTCGCAACTGACCACAACAACAACATAGCTGGGAAGATAGACCAGGTATATTATGTGTTTGCTCAGTCTGCGGTCCAGGTGGACAACTTCAAGGTTGCTGCTGCACTCTTTCTTATGGTTTGTTATACTCAAACTGGACTTGGACAAGACAGCCTTCAAATAAATGACTCCTTTAAAAAGAGGATTTTCCTCTCTAAAATAAGACACATGATGTTTAGTATAAAACTCAAGAACCCAAGTTCAAACAAACAGCCTGAATCCTGTACCTATTCTCATAGTGTTGAGGAAAGTGCAAAAATATGTTTTTTGACGGATGGCATATTAGAAAGAAAGTTGCCAGTTACACTTAGTGATATCACTTCTTTACCTGAAGTTCAAACACCAGCTTAAACTGCAAAGTCAGTGTTACCTAGGAGGAGGAAAACTGTAAATCCTATGGCAGTCTTATCCAACCAGGTGTTCCTCATGTGTTTTATACCACAAGTCCTACTAGCTTCAGCCTGCATGACCAATGCAGAAGCTGATGGGAGCTGTAGTCCATAATGTCACGAATGGACACTAAGCAGGGCAAGGCTGGCTGACTGAAATGCCTTGAGATGTCACAGGGAGATGTGCTGTTCTGTGTGCATATTTAGGGCACTTTTCTCTGTCTGAAGGTCAAATCCTGGGTGACTGACTCACTGTTTGTCAGCCTAACCTACCTAACACTGTTGTAAGAATAAAATGGAGGTAAGGAGGATTGTGTAAATCAGCTAGAGTTCTTTGCAGGAAAAGGACAGTGTATGAATGCAGAAATAAAAATATCATTCTTAATAATAATGATACTACTATAATATTACATAACCCCTAAATTCTCAGCCTTTGGGGTACTTCCCCCATGGTGGTACAAGACAGGCACTGAGAACCATTGGTACCTCTCCTTCCTGCCTCCAGATGTGTCCAAGCAGAAGGTCAAGAGAACTGAGGGAAAAGAGGAAAGTCTGCAAAAACTCAGCAATCATTTACTGAAAGAATTAGCACCCAGTTTTGCCTCTTTCAAGTCAGAACTAAGCAGAGCCAGAATGGTGAAGGTTACTCCCCCCCCCCTTGTCCTTTCTTAGGCCTTCCCGCCTGGCTACTAGCCCGAAGGCAATAGTTCCTCTTACTTTCCAGTACTCAAGACTTCAGTGCTAATTCTCTCCAGCCTATGCCTCCACTTCTTTCTGTGTGATCTCGGTGGATGAGCAGGCGGGAAAGGAAGTGGACGAAACAAACCTGCAGACAAACAAAAAGTTGTGCATAGCAGAGGAAACCTGTATGTATGCAGCAATGTGTGGGAATCTTTATAATATGTCCCCCATTCAACAACAACAACAAAAACTAATGGTTTGAGGAAAGGAAGGGAGGACACCCATCGCAACCCCATGGACAACATTCCTCCAGGCCTTCCTGTCTTCCACCATCCCCCGGAGTCCACTCAAGCTCACACTGACCGCTTCAGTGACTCCATCCAGCCACCTCATCCTCTGCCGTCCCCTTCTTCTTTTGCCTTCTATTGTTCCCAGCATTAGACTCTTCTCCAGGGAGTCCTTCCTTCTCATTAGGTGGCCAAAGTATTTGAGTTTCATCTTCAGTATCTGGCCTTCTAAAGAGCAGTCAGGGTTGGTCTCCTCTAGGACTGACTGGTTTGATCTCCTTGCAGTCCAAGGGACTTGCAGGAGCCTCCTCCAGCACAATTCAAAGGTGTCAGTTCTTTGGTGCTCAGCCTTCCTTATGGTCCAGCTTTCATAGACAAGTGAAAGCCCGAGTGGAAAAGTGTGATGAGCACTGATTTAATTCAGTGCAGGAAGGTGCATGATCTGTTTGATTTTACATATTAGATGGCAGGGCTTTTCCTTTCTTCCCAGGTGTGGCATAAATAAAACATGTGTCTGGGTCACATGGGGCACCCATCCTGCAGGTTTTCTCCCTCTGTCTCCATCCTGAAACTCCTGCACATTGAACGATGACCAAAGAAAATAATCCAAGATAGGCCTAAACAGGTTTGATTCTTAGTAATGGAGGAATGTCCAGCAGGGGGAGGGGAGGGGTTTGACCCCTTCTCCAGTGATGTGTGACTTGGAGTCAGTCACTTTCTACCAGAAAAGCATGATATAGATTGAGCTGGGCAGGGAATTTGCAGTGGTGGAGTAAAAATATGTCTGCTTTTGCAGCTTGCTGTAGGTTTATGTGCATAAGCACATCCAATGGGGTGGTGGGGTGCGTGTGCTCTTCCTTGAGCAATATATACAAGGCCTGTACCATTTGTTTGGTCTGACCCGCGCCCTTCTCCGGACGTGCAGGGCTACAATTCGCGTTACCCCAGCCCCTGTGAGTGCCTCGCCTGGGACCATCTGCCGCCACGCTGGATGCCCGGCCCTGGTGTGCGCGTCCTCCGAGGCCATTCCTGAGGCTGTCGCTCTGTGTCATGCCGCCCGGGGGAGGCCACCCACGGCCGATCCCGTCGTCACTGACGCTCAGGGATCCCCGCGCAGGCCGCTCGCTGCAGTCGCCGATTTAAGAGGCGTGCTCCTCCTCCACGTGCTAGCTCTGAGTGACTGAAATACATAAACAGAACGGCAGGCGCGAGCAGCAGAAGGAAGCTGCGCCTGACCGATAATAACCTCGGCGGCAGGATCTATATAAGGAGCTCCGGGTTCAAGGAATCTCCGGCTTTTCTTGAGACTCAGCGGGGGGAGCACGCAGGAGCGGCCGCAGCTCCGGGACCCGCATCGAGCGGCCGGGGCACAATCGGGCGTCCTCTTGGAATTCCTCTCTCTCCCTTCCGAAGTGGCCAGACAGGCGGATCCCGAGCGCGCTGGCCAGCAGGTAAAAAGTGCAAAAGCGGGAATATTTTTCCCGCGGGGGGGAGGGGGAGGCAAGGCTAGTGGGGAGGGGGAGAGGGAAAAGGGGACTCTGGTGAAAACGATGGCTCGGGACTTCGCCTGGGGCTTTGTTTGTAACCCCCTTTATCCTGCAGGAACGGATGGATTTGCCATTCACTTGGCGTCGAAGGCGACGGAGGATCAATACCTCCCAATTTTCTTCTTCCTGCCGCCTTCTGGCGAAGGGGACGGGGAAGTAACACTAGGAAAGCTGATCTCTGAGCATGGGCAGAGTGCATTTTCGCCCTCACCAAGGATCTAGCCTTGTCTCTTCGTGCATTTGCGAGGAGGGCAAAGGGAGAGTGCTTCAATCCTCTTTGTTGTTGTTGCGGGTTAATGAACTGTTGAACTGAGAGACGAAAGCAGAAAAGAGTCGCTCAAAGCGAAATCTTGCCCCTGCGCTCGTTTGGAAAGGACAAAGAAGAAAGGGCGAGATGCTTGGTTAGGAATATTAAATATTGTGGGAGCTAGACAAAGCAACGCCTTGGGTGCTCGAGGTAGCTTTTGTCCGAGTGCCGTTTAATCATCCAATTTTCGTTATTTATTATTTAATTTATTTTCTCCTTCCAGTGGCAAATATACTTAGGATTCATTTCAGGAGCTGGAGTGTATGAGATGTGCGTGAGTGCGTCTGTGTAACAGGGACCTAAGGAAGTCTTGGGACACTTTCTTAAAGGACAGTAATTCTTGAGGCATGAAGTTTTTGAAGGCTACAGAGGTTACTTCAGATGACGGAGCCTTTTCTTCACCTCCCTTCTCTCACACGCTCGCTCACTCGCTCTCTTTCTCTGTTGCTTCTTTATCAGAGGGCGCCTCCATTGGGGCTGCTGAGGAACGGCGAAAACCTTTTCGGGTAGACAGACACACAGAGAAAGAGCAACTCCAAGTAGCCAGAAATGACCGAGAGTAACCTCCAGTATGTATGACAGCTTGATTAAAGCCGTCAGCCTGGGGAAAAAAATGTGCAGATCCATTTTGTTTGGGACAATGTATCTCAATTCTGTAGACAACGAGGAGCCCAGTAAGAAAGTAATCAGGTCTCAGAAAAAGTGGTTTGCCAAGCAATTTAAGAGGAAGGTAATCATAATTGTATGATTAGTAATAATTCTTAGCATCTGCCATTGTGCTCAAAGCTTTGTTGTGAAACCTGTTTTCTCTCTTATTCTAGTGAGTCAGGACTGTTCAAGAGCTGGGAGGGAGAATTTGCAGAATTAAAGGAAACTAAAGGGAGCAGAAGTGGGCAACGTTTTTTTTTTTTTAAGTTCTGTACCTTGTGACACTTTCAAGCCATTGTTCTTCGGAAGTTGTATATCTTGGAACAAAAGGTGATCAGTGGGGTAAATCAGTGTTCCATATTCTGTGGAAAAGGCTGTATTAGTTCATTAGCTTGACAGAAATCCAGAGTTCAGATCCCCACTCAGGCATGAAACTTTTCAGGTAACCTTGTGTTACTCACTGTCTCTCAACCTAACCCACCTCACAGGGCTGTTGTGAGGATAATACGGGATGGGGTGAACCATCTAACCCTGAGCTCCTGGGAGACAGAAGTGTGGTAGGAATTCATAATAAAAAGAACTGTGTTTTGAATAACAGGAGTTCGGTTGCAGTTCATTTTCTCAGAAATGTTCCTAAAAACTACTTGCATGAAGCCCATGGGTAGATCTTACATTTTTGTCTTTAGTTATCCATGCACACCATACAAAGCTAATTTCGATTTGCCAGCATGGATATCCACAAATGAATGCTTGTATGACTGGTACACATCACAACGTACAATTCACATCCTGCATGGGTGTTCTTATTCAGTACACCACCCTACCTCTAGGGTACTCAGGGTGGCATATGAGTACCACCCTTTTTGTGAGCTTTTTGGCTCAGGTGTTGAACTGCAAAGTTTCCTTCGAGCAAATCCATGCTGGGAGCCAGAAATAAAAAATCCAAGTTGTGGGAACAAATCTTGCGTAATACATGATATGGTCCTAAGTGAAACAATTCTCTCTTATCTCTGGCATTCACATAAGATGAAAGTATACCCAGGGAGTCTTAAAGAAAGCTCCAGGTGGAGCCTGTCTGTTCATGTAATGTGCTTTTGAACATAATGCAAATATCTGAAGCAGTCTGTCCTTAAGTCCTGTCCTTTGAGAGAATTCCAGTTCTTGGTTTATACCTGTGGAAACACTGTTGCTCTGTATGCTCTGTGAAATCATGTGTAGTAAACTTTGGCATATACTAAGCGGTTTTCAATGGTTCCCCATATTAAACGGAATAATCACTGTATATCAAAGACTGAGAAGGAACACAAAGCTCAAACTCATCTTGAATTGGAAGGTTTATTCTTGCAAAATAAAGGAAGTCACAGAAAGCCAAACAAGTTTTGAGTAAGATCTTCCTCTGAATTCTAATGCAATTTTGCTGTAAGATGAACTCTCTTGAGTACATTTTTCTAGAAAGAACTCTGTAGAGAGAGTCTTGTTGGTACTTCTCGCTCTGCCTTTATCATATGTAAAAGTGGGGGGCAGGGAAAATGTTTTGACCTAGCCTTCCCCAGTGTTCAGGCTATCACATGATTTTGCTGCTTGTGTGAATCAGTTCTGCCCTTGTCATTTCTCTGCATCTTGAAATATTCCTTACCCTGGCGATTGTCCCACTGCTCTTCTTCTACAGCAAGATATTTCATCCCCCGTCCGTCCCGTGCCCACTGCTGTTTCATTGTGTACAGTGCCCCAAGATGTCCACAGGACAGTGTTCGAGGAACTTCTTGTAGTTCAACTAAGGGAAATGAAAATGAGGTCCAGACATTCAGGGTGGTGCCCCATGCAGTCAGCTTCGGATGTGAAGCACAGATAGCATGTGTCCTGCCTGTGTGCGGCAGATAAGTCAGTGTGAAAAGGGTTCCTAAAAGTTAAAAAAAAAATGACCAGAATGAGATTTTATGGAGCATGTGCTTCTTGTCCCCCCTCTCTAGTTTTCCTGTCCCTTTCAAGCAGTAGTCAACAAAAGCAGCTGGCAAGGAAAACTCATGATGGGAATACATTAAGCCGCACATTTTGCCATAGCAGATGACAGGGAAAGGCAGAGAATGAAGAGGTGGTCCTGGGTTGCTGCTTCTAACACCAGCTATAATGCCCAATTCAACTTGAGTGAGGGTAGAGCAAGCGTGCTTTCCTTTTTGCTCTTCCATGGGTCTTCTCACCACCACTTACTTTTCTCCTCCATTGTATCAAGCGGAACTCATAGCAGGCATGTAATAACATGTTCAAAATATCTTGTAGGAAAGGAACATATTACATTAAAATTGACCAGTTATGTATCAATAGCTGCTAAGCGAGTGTGTGCAAAATACTGGAAACTGCCCCTAATCCTGATTATAAAAAATGAGAGTAAATATGTGAGATCTGGCAGCAATATTAGAATTGGCATCTTTCATGAGGACAGAGGGACATAATCAGAATGGAATAACTTTATGAATATGTGGGTGCCATTTATTGACTTTTGAAGACTGGGTTTATTAATGCCTAACTTGCATAAGGAATGAATTAAGAAATGATAATGAACATTTTTAAAAGTGTGAGTTAATTAAGTTAAGTAAATTAATTGCTAGTGATTATGTGGCTCATTAGTAAAATTGGTGGGTTAGCCCAATTTACAGTTTATAGATTGGTCTATAGATTGGTCAATTTGCCATTTACAATTTGTCTACAATTTATAGACCAATTTGATCTGTAAAATTGGTGTTTTAGACCAGTGGTTAACCAGCACTGGTCTGCGGGAGAATTTCTGCTGGTCCATAGGAGGGCCACACCCTGCTTGCCGCGGACCAGAGCAGGGCTGGCGGGGCTCCACCATTTCTTTCTCAGCTGTCATCGCATTTGCAGGGGGTGAGCCGGTGCCACCAGGGAGGCCGAGGAGGGGAGAGACCGCGTGGTGGGAGCCACACTGCACCGATTTCAGTATTTTGTTCTTTTGTTGGCATTTTTTGTTGCCCGGTTTCTGGTTGTTTTGGAGAAGTTTAATTTTTTTTTTTTTTTTGGAATTGTGTTTGGAATACACAGAATACAGTATTATGTGTATGGTGCTCTTTGTTTCTGCTTTGGCAGTCCCCAAGGTGGTTTTCCTATTTTTGCAGGTCCTCAGCTATGGAAAGGTTGCAAACCACTATTTTAGGCCATGAGTTTCACATGGGTGTGTGATCTGTAATGTTATAAGGATTTGCTTTAATCCAGCTGGGGGAAAGTAAGTTGACCTCTGGAGGAAAGTGATAGCAGGCATAGCTGTTGCTACCTCCCCAGGTGTCCTGAATAATTTGAAAGTGGTGGTATCATGATCCAGGGAAGATCTGGTGCTACCATTTTTGTCAAAAGAATACTACTTCAGGAGGCCAAGTATGACAGAATTCCATAGCAATGCACACAGACTTGAGTCCAAAGGGTCAAGTCTCAAAACTCTTAATATATTTCTGTGAGAATCAGTTTGATTGTTCATATATTGTTTGATAGTCTCTGGGCTGATTTAAGAAGGTTATCAAAGTTGGTGAAACATATTCACTTGTTGAAAAGTACCAAAGTGGTAGGTTTAATAGCCCATGAAGAGTTTTGGAACATCTTTGATGAATGACTGCAATCATGTCTGATATTATACATCACAATTATATGGCATTTGTAGTGAACAGTGAAGGGTCCAAGTTTGCTGATGGCACCAAATTACTGAAGTTGGCTAATAGAAAAAAGGATTATGAGGAGCTCCAAAAGGATTTTTCCAAACTGGTAGAACGGGCATCAAAATGGCAAATGCAGTTCAATGCAACCAAGTGTGAAGTAATGCATGTTGAGTCAAAAACCCCAACTTCAAATATAAACTATTTCAGATGAATCTGAGCTAGTAGGGACTCGCCAAGAAAAGGGTTGTGGTGGAACAGCCCAGTGAAAATGTTGCCTCTTTGTGCAG